ACTGCATAACAGGGAACTTTATAATTCATGTAGCGCACCAAAAATTGTTGTCGTCAAATCAAGAATGTTTTACGTTGGTACGGAGCACATAATGAGAACAGAATGTGACATTCGAGGTTCTCACGGCGAAGATGTCTCTGTGGGTTTTAGCGCCATGTTAACTTGTAGGTAGATAACAAAGTGTAGGAGGACACAGTGTCTCCATCTTCAGAGACGAAACCAGTTGTTACTCAAAATGTCTCATTCACGCTAGAATTAATCTTCTGTAAGGGGCTTAGCATGACACGGTCCACAATACTCTACAAGTCTGCTGATGCCTGTGTGTCGTTCACTTACCTAAGGATGCATTTTAGCAATTGTTATTCTATTTTACTCTTTTTATATTTGAAATATATTCTTGTAAATATTTTTATCTGTACAACTCAAATGTTTATAAGGTATTTCTTGACTATGTAATGCAGAACTCAGCGTCGAGCCACCATTAACAAAATTCAAAACAGCAGCACTTCTTGAAACAAAATATTGTTATTTGTTACCATTTAAAATATATTTATTGCTAATGAATCAATACATTCGTTTTCTGTACATTTGCCTAGATCGTGTATTGTGACGATAAATAAAAACCGTCCTTAGCTGCGTAGTGTGCGTTCAGGACGAGGGATAAAAGGAGATAAGAATGCAAAGGTATTAAACAATTTATTTAACTAAGTTTACACATTTGTTTGTTTAAAAATTGTGCTTATAGTACATTAAACAATGAAAATTTGTTGGTACTGAACGGCGCAAAAATAACGCAGTCTGTTTTTCCAGAGACATTAGAACGAAAGAGAATGAACATCGTATTCGGACAAAGTAGATGAGTTGTTCAAAACTCAACCAGACGTTAATTTGGTTCATTTCAACAACAGCTCTCCGTATTTCAATAGGAACTGGAAGGTACACACCTTTTGGCCGATTTTTAAGCTGTCTTCACTACAGAAATAGCTCCATGTAAGCAGTAAATACTCTACAGTCGTTGGAGATGATGCGTTGGAATGCTTTTTCGTCTCTGTTCGTAGCCATTCCGCTTTTCCTCGCTCGAGACAGACAAAAATATCCGTTCACGGACTCGGGTTCGGGACTGGGGCAAGCCGAGTGGCAGTCGGTGTGAGGCTTTGGCAGGAGGCGGTGTCGAGGTGTGAGACATGTGAGGTTCTGATTGGATTTCAAGTGCGGTGAACTTACATCCTTTTCACACGGAAGCGCTGGCATGGGTAGCCAATGCTGCAAGTGCCAGTCGTCCAACAATAAGCCAACCTCATCCTCCTCTACGTCATCGTATTTAGGGGAACCACTGTAGGTCCTTTCTCCTTTCAGTTCTGTCGCCTTTAGTTTTAAAACAGTGAGTGATGGTCAAGTGTTGTTGCTTACGAATGTGAAATTTTTGTATCTATAACAATCTGTCTGCAGAGAGACTGTCACGTGCCTCGTGGTCTGCTTCTGGCGTAATATGTTTCACATTTTGTATTTAGGCTCTGTTGGTTTTGCAGCATTGCGAGATGTACTAAGGTAATGGCAAGATGTCTGAAGTTTCGCGTGAAATGTAGTACTGTATGTTTGAGCATGCCCAAAGTTGCCAGTCGTTTTCCTCAGGAAACAAGCACCAGTTCTTATAATGTAGAAACATGTTATCAGATAACCCAAGCGAAATAACATTTGAAAATATTCACTTCGGTAATGTGTTAACACCTGTTCCTTTCCGTGATGTAACGTTGCTGTGTGTTAACAGTTTCATGTTTAGGTATAGGTATATAGCCATTTTGAAATATCAAGATGGCTGTCTTCTGGATTGTTATGCCGTGTAGTCTGATAGAAATGTACCTACGTTTTAGAGGTTCTTGCTGCCTCCATCATCAGGGCAGTGGGTTCTCATCGCTCTGCTCTCTGACAAATACAAAATATACACAATTTTTAGGCGTCTACATTCATGCATAGGGGCAAAACAACAGAACTCAAAGTTTTTATGAAGGCATGAAGATTAGAACCGACGTTTGACTCAGTGGGTCTAGTCTGACTTATATCAAGGACGTACCCAGTTCAAAATTCAGTTTGGTTTCCAATCTCTTGATTGAAGTTTCTCGTGGTCATCGACATTCTCCCCAGATGAATACCGGGAGATTGTTTTTAAATAGGCTACGACTCCCGCACCTTAGTTGCTAACCTCCAAAGATCTTTGTCCGATCTCGTTTCGACCGTCGAACTTGAATCGTTAGCACTTTTGTTTAATATTTGGGATGTTACGATTTCGAGTCTCGGCACGGGATCCGGCTGTGCTGACAGGTTGTTCGTAGCTGTAATCAGTTACTTCAGGCAAATTCTGAAATAACACCTTAAAATATTCCGTTAATTGTTCCTTCCGTATTCCTCAGAATTTATTATTTATACTGTGCTTAAAGAACTTTGTTATATTAACAAAAGTCAGTGAGCCAGTTACATGTTTGGATGCCGTTCGAATCTAAGAAATCTCTGCAGTTGAAACAGCATTGAAGTACTCAGAGTCAGTGGCCTTTTATTTTGCTCCATTGTTAAATACCAGATATCTCGTGAAAATCAATGTAAATTAACAGACATGTCTGATGAGTAGGCTTTACAGCAGCACAGATGTCAGAAGGCCAGTTTTCCAAGATTGTGAACGTTTTAATTTTCCGAGCGGTGGTAGAAACAAATGTAGATTTGTTTCTTAATTGTCAATTCAGTTGATTTTGTTTGAAACAGAGAAATGACAGCAACATCTTCAAGTTACCAGTGTGTCACCATTAAAAGTATTTGACATTTAGCCGTTTTGGGCTGGTTTGTGACGCGTGTTAAGGATTTAAGTTTACAGTTTATTGTACTAAGTTAGTAAATAGTGCTGAATTTTGTATAAACGATTTATATTCTCACTTTAAACTAAAGCTTGGCAATCTTGCAGCTTCGCAACATATGATAGATCTGTGAAGAAATCGATTTATTCTTACGCGTACGTGAAATATGTGATCAATGTTCAGTGTTCTTTTTTCAGATGGGTACCACGCTGTTCTCTTTTAAAATGAAAATGATTCCTACAGTTATTTCTTTATACGATAAGAATGTTGCTGAAGATATTCTTACGGGTGTTTTATTAAAAATAAGGTATATGTGTTTTGCTATGCCCTTCACTGTCCGTGCGTTTAGTTTCGCTCTGAATTGGGAACAATTACGTCATGTGCCAGTAACGGGTGAAGGGTGATCTAATTAAATATTTGGAACCAGTCCACCATGCTGAAAAGAGAGTAGTGACGTTTCTTATTACGTTGACTAGTGGGCAGAAATCATTTTAAAAACAAATGCGTGGCGTAGAGATTCTTTGAAAGTTTATAAGTTCCTTTGCAGAAAGGAACGATAACAGAGTATCTTGCCGGAGAAGCACCTGAACTTAGCCCATCTAACCACACAACAGTTTCACACTTAAATTAATCATTCAGCTGAACCAAACAGAAAAATCACTGCATGTACTGTGTAAAGGAAGGTGAAGCTTTGCGTTGCTGGTGCCAAATTTACCTCAACTTCTCTTACCAATTCCGCAGTGGCGGCGCGGTCTGAGGCGTGGGCCTTGTGCCGCTTGGTTGCTCGGACCGTGGGTTCGAATCCCACTCAAGCCATGGATGTCTGTGTTGTGCTGTCCTGTGTACAGGTAGAGGCCTTGCGACGGGCCGATCGCTCGTCTAAGGAGTTCTACCGAATGTCTAATAGATCGAGCCAACGAAAAGTTGGGACCCGCAGTGCTCTTATTACTGCACATTTGAAGGCAGATTTTCATTATTTGACATATATGTGTTTCTTTTCAGACAGACACAAAAGATACTAATTTCTTATGTGATACGGCTTTTTAATTATGGTTTCTTGTTCTTCACAGATGTAAATAATTAATAATAAGTAGTTTCGCAAAGAAAATAAATGTTTTATCTTATGTACGCATATTTCTCTCGGTTCCGGGAGCATAATTTTTGGTATTCGAGGTGAAAAAATAAATTTCGCTGTTCCTGAACGTGTGTTGCAATGATCCCTACCTAGTCAAAGTATTCAGAAGGATATATACTGATCATAGTGTGTTTTTTCACCATTCTATTGTGTACTATTCAGTCCATGCGGGAATTTTGGTGGACAAAGTGGTACTGGAACAGGATTTTATCCGAGTCCTTCGACTTTCCTCTGTCAGTACCATTCCACCTTGCTCCAAATTCACTCATGTACAATCTGGAGAATGGACAAAGGGTTTGTTACAGACCCAGTTCCCCAAAGACATAATCTCACTCCATAGCAACAATATTGGACGTTGTTGTGAGAGTAAAAACCATGTGCACATCTTCAGGTCACAGGCTGTCGTACGGACAGATATTTAATTTGTTTTATTTTCGATGTTAATGATAGTGAAAATCGAACCCTAAATCACTTGAATACTAGGGTTACCCATTGTAACTATTTTATTTGACAATGATAACTCTTGTACATTTGTCCATAATTATAGAAATAAGTTGGCTTACAAATTTCAGACACTTAATATTCATTACAGTAGGAAGAAGGCAAATCTGCAGGTAGGAATACCGAAGAAGTAAATCACATAGTTGACAAATATATTATCGAATGCTTTTAAACTTTGCGCCGTGAGATTGTTATGTTGGTACCCAACTCCAGTGAAAGATGGCGTGTTTTGATAGCGCTGGTTTCAAGCGTTGTGTGAAAGAGTACGTTTTCTGGTGTTTCTGTTGATTTCACAATCACAGTTTGTAAACACTGTCTGCCTAAGAAGAGTTTTGATCGGTTTATTGAAATACATCCAATGAATACTTTAGAAGTAAGCGATAATTAACAATAATTGCTTGGATCAGTGTTTCTAGAGTATGGCTTGGAAAACAAGTGCAGCCAACGTTGAGTTAAATTACACACCAGGTTTGTGCGTGAACTCTGTACGCTTATGGCAACACGTTTCGATATGTCCGCAGGAGGCGTGGCGATCAGGAGTTGGTGGGTGAACGCTACCGCGTGTCAGAAAACAACAACACAGTGCTGCTCAACCTACACCATGTGACGAGAGACGACGTCGGGCACTACTCGCTTACAGCAAAGAATTCTGCTGGGGAAGCTCGTCGCGCTATTGAAATCAAAGTTGAAGACGCCACGTCAGATGTCCCCGTGTTCCTCAGGCGACTCAGCGATCTTGCTGTGAAGGTGGGCACTCGAACTCGTTTCCTGGTCGAGATTCGCAGCTCGTCTGAAGTGAAGGTGAGTGGCATGTGTCACCTTTTGATGTAGCTACTTATAAAAGGAATTAGAGGTGAACATATTGCACTTCGATAACAGGAAATTCCGGTGGTGGAATAAATATAATGTAGCGTAAGGAATGTAAGAAAGAAATTAGCTGTTACAATATTATTCAGTTATTATATCCGCTTATCTTACAGTGCCAGTATCAAGGTGGCGCTATTTTCTTGTGTCATAGATTTCGTCTTCATCTCTGGAATAAAAAATCAAGAAAAGGAGTTAATTCATAAAATGTAGTATTTATAACATAAATTGTACATACAAGATTCGTTGAAAGAAACCCTTGTTTCTTTAAGTAAAATTAATTGTAGATGCAATGTAGGCCTATCTGTACGCTTGTACCGAAATTGGAGGTACGCGTTTTCCTTTCTGTTGTCATCGTTAATCATACACGCAGTGATTAACAACATGTAGATTGCATGAGGAAAACTATTTTATCCAGCTCAAAATTTGTTTGGGATTAAAGTTACGGAACTTAAATTGATACGTAATTTACATTGGTTTAAAACCATAATTTTATTGTGCATGTAACTGTATGATGTTTTTAATAATATACGTTTCTATTCTTGTTTGTGATGATAAGTTGTACGCCATTTAACGATGGCTGAAGCGGTTATGTGGCGTCGAAGGAAATATAGGAATGATAATGAAAGTTGCTTTAGGAGTAATGTAGAGGAATGGGTCTAGGCCTTTCCTTGGCAGTCTTGGCGTTCATTTCGAAGAAAACAGGAAAGCTTAAGAACATTTCATGACAAGCGGTTCTCTATCGTAAAATTGAAACGACTACTTCATAGAAAAAGGAACGCCTGGCACGTTGAATGTGATTGAACCCTCTTCAGTTTGTTTCTTAAGCCGTTGTGAGATGGGGCAACCAGATTCGTGGGTCAGAACATTGCAGACTAACGAGTTCCGCGGAAAAGAGAAGTTGGGGCCCCATCTTCAGCCAGTTGAAACAAATTCACGCTCTATTCGCGTATAATTTTTGGCTCACATTTTTGGATTTTAGCAGATGTGGATTGTCAGTATTTATGTAAGTTTCTAAAGAGTTAATTTACGAACTCAGTGGTTAATAATCTTTCTTGAAAAGTGACCAGTAAATGGTGTGACAAGAAATACAGAATTAAGATAGCTGTTTCCCTAAATATAGCACCATGTAGTCTGGTAGTAACTGACGGACGTTTCAGAGGTTTGTCACACTGATGATGGAGACAGCAAACTCCTCTGAAACGACGTTTAATATCCATCTACTTGACTACACGGTGCTACATCCCAGAATACAGCCGTCTTCATACTCATCGCCGTGAAACCTTCAGATCTCACCAATTACAATATATATTTTTTTGTTTAATATAATACATGAGCTTGTCAGGTGTTTATAAAGGGTCGCAGATGGCATTTGCTCGTTTATCCAGACAAGGTACGTTATGAAAATGTTTAAGTCTCTGATACAGGTTTAAACGGCTGGTCCCATTTTAAACTGTAATGTCAACAATCGACTGTTGAGTGTGAGGAAACACGTGATCATGACCAAACTTTTCAGCCATGCACATGATAAAGTGGGAATGCAGTTCTTTTAAACGTTATGGGGCTCTGTATTTGCCGTGATGACAGATCGTATGGTATTCTACATCCTGTACTTGAGCAATGTGACGTCATTGGATCTGCTCTTTTTATAGTCTGAGCGTCCGCGCTTTTTGTTACGTTGTTCAACGAAGTTCGAATGAAGGTACATACATGAGTTTCTTGGACCTTGTCACCAACGCACTTTATATTGGAAAATCGTCGCACTTGCAGATCAGCGAATCCGCACTTTGCAATTAATTCCACTGAGCATGGAATCCTTCATCTCATCTGGCCAGGAAATTAATTCGCTTATCATACAGCCTGAAAGTCCGTCACCATCGGAAGATGAATCCAGTCCACACGTTGATGACTTACCGTATTTATTTACGACCATTTCATACGTATTATCCTCCCACCGACGGTTAGGACTCCCAAGTGGCTTTCCGTTCATGTTTCTCATTTCTCTTATGTTTGCTACCCTTAGTTTGATCATGCTGATATCACTATATCTGGCAAAGAGTACAAATTATTAAGCTCGTTATGTAAATTCCTCTATTATTCTGTTACAACCTCCCTCTAAGAACCAAATACTCTCCTTAACCATTCGCTCTCAGACACCATGGAGCTTTATTCTCTCTTAAGGTGATGTTCTGAGTCTCCCCCCCCCACCCAGTCAGAACAATAGATTATCGTTTTGTGTATGTTTATGATAATATGGTAGACACTGGGCTGAACTGTGGCAAGCATTCCTCCAACTTAAAGGTTTTTTTCTTCTTCGTGGATGTAAATTTGATTTGTTACCGTTGTTCCTGTACTTCCTGCATGTTTGTTTAGCTTCCTCATGAGGTCATGATAGATGTGAGATACAGGTGACTTTCTCTCTGTATGCAGGGGATTCCTTTCCTGTGAATTGCCGCGTATGATAGAAACTGGTAAAACGGGAAACGTGTAACGATCGTCTTTTGATGTTACACTTCTCTGATAAGTCTGGTAACAGGTTTCAAAATTTGGCAGCAGATGGAATATTGATGCTGCTTGTGATACTGAAATAAACCCGTGGATATGTGAAAACGCGGACATCAAAAACGCGTATAACGAGGGTCATCCGTAATACTTCGAGAGGATAGTTTACCGAGGCAATGTTTTTACCAGGCGCCCCAGCAGTAGTGAGTAACACCTGACTGTGACCTCAGGTTTCATGGCACCGAAATGACGAACGCGTGCTGGAGGGCGAGAGGTTCCACTTCGTGCACGAGGGCAACTTCTTCTGCGTGGACGTGGCTCCCGTCGTGGTTGAGGATGGTGGGCGCTGGACCTGCATGGCGGAAGGTGCCGGTGGAAGAGCTTCATGTTCCTCAAACCTCAACGTCTTGGGTGAGTCAAAACCTACAACGTTCAATCTCGCATTTAACCGAACATGGCGTTTGCTTCATTCTGTGAACATACTGGGTTGAATCTCGGATCCCCTAAGCATGCTATTTGCTGTATGTGCGCAAGCGCGCGAACGTTCAAGCCAGTCAATCCGCAGAGTGAAGGAAAACACGTACAGACTGTTAAGTGAATTAATAAGCAGGTGAATCCCGCATCTCGTACAACAAAACACAAGTACTGTGACGTATTTCTTTTAATATGCTACAGGATGAGCCTTCTGCCTCCTGTTCAAGCGGCTGTCTTGCTCTTTCGATGAACTGTCTCATTCTCCCACTGAGAAGAATGCCACTAATTTCTCTGTAATCTTAGCTGAAGAAATGCAGATACGTTGAAGAGGGCATAAGATAAAGCCCTAAAACGACTGCCTCTTTTATGGCGGCACACTGGTCGAGTAATTTGTACACACATATTGTGCGGTTTCTATATGCAGAATCTGATATATTGACCCCTATGTAGCATAAATACATATTACTGTCACAGTGCCGAAGGCGTACAAGGCCCCCGAGTTCCTGGAGGAGCTACAGGCCCTGCTGACAGAACAGGGCACTGTGTCTCTGGAGTGTAAGGTGGTTGGCGTGCCCACCCCCGTGCTGCACTGGTACAAGGATGGGAAGGAGATCAAGGCAGGGGACGTGTTCGCACTGACAGCCAACCCCGATGACCCAACATCTCTCGGCACTTACACCTGCGAAGCTGTAAACTGCATGGGCAAGGCGTACTCATCCTCCAGAGTGCACGTGGTGGGAAAGGGGAGCCGTGAGGGTTCACTAAAACCAGCTGACAGGTCAGGAATTACTTGTATGTCTTCTAGTTACTGTAGTCATTTGTAATGGATGTGTGCTGAGTCCCAGCTGATCTAAGATCAGATAAGCACAACAAATTTGTGTCTAATGTTACTGTAACACACCCAAATTCTTATTCTGGGAATGGAGCAAGTAGTTGGATTGCTGTTGATTGATCCAGTTGTTTAATATCTAACCCAATCAGTCTCCCTAGTACCAGAGACAGAGTTTCTACTAACTGCTGTTTTGATTCCAGATATCTGTATAATACAACAGTACTTCAAAAAACAAATAAGTTTTTAATGTTTTATATCTTGTAGTATGAAACCTGTAGGACCCCCTCCAGTATTCAAGAACGAGTTACGTAATGAGAAAATAAAGATTGGGGACACGACGACACTGGCCTGCCAAGGTAAGGATTATCTGCATCATAAAATAATAAGTAACTGCATTGAGCAGAGTTGCTCTGTCACCCTATTTATTTAAATTATTTCAGTATTATCTTTTCAGGATTTTTTCTGACTAAAGTTTTCTGTACATTTCTCATCTCTTGTCCATTTTATGCTCTGTGATTTGGTCACATTTATTTATTTGGTGAAAAATATAAATGAGAAGCCACTTCGTATGTTTTATTATTGTTAATGTACAGTGCTCCTCTTGCTTCCAGCCAAGTATTCTTCTCTCTCAAGCTAGAGACCAGGTTTTATACCCATACAAAAGCTAGTAAAATTATAGTTCTGTACCTTACATTACACAAGAGAGGCATTCCTTGTTCAAGCATACCCATAAGGTTAAGATTCTTGTGCCTGAAGACAGTAACAAAACTGGTTTCTAACACAGCATTTTAAAAACTATTTTGATTAATATATTTTAAGAAGTTGTAACTAATTGTGATACACCTTTTGTCATAAACATTCAAGAGATGGTAGTGTTTTGTTTTCCTAACCTCAAAGTCTGTACTGTGCAGTTTCTGTGCCACCCTGGCCACAAAGCATTACATGGTACAATAAGGAGGGACGGGTGGAGGAGAGTGAGAAATATCACGTTATGGCAGATGGACTCGGTGGCTACATGATTGAGATCAACCATGCCGAAGTGGTGGATGAAGGCGAATGGAAATGTGTGGCCACCAGCAATGAGGGTGTCAAAGGGATCTCCACATGTTCTATATTCATGACATGTAAGAGACATAAAGTCGTAATTACTACTATTATTACTTCTTGCCACTACAACTCAGTTCTAGCATTTGCAGTTTTCCAAAGCAGTAAATCTCCTTGAGTGTGAGATGAAGTTATCTCCTGCTGCTACTAGCATTACTGCTGTACTAGATATCTGGATCTGTGGTTTGAAACTCATGTTATTAAAATTTATGCACGAAGTAAATTAGTAACATTGCACAGTTTGCATAATATTTAATGAAAATATGGTGTACTTGTCTTCAGCGACTTCTGCACTATCACATGAATTTATAAGTAATGTTGTAGTTTATGAAGTATGATATGGTTTCCCATCAGATCCAAAGAACTACCGAAAGCCTCGTTTTCTGGAGAGTCTGAAGGCAATCCTGACTGATGAGGGTTTGGTGTCCTTTGAGTGCAAAGTTGTGGGCTTTCCAACACCTCAGCTTCGATGGTTCAAGGATGGACAGGAACTGAAACCAGGAGATGTATACCAGCTGACAGGCACCAACTCATTGGGTAAGCAGCCAGCTATTAACCAATGGATTTCAGTCCTTCAAAAGAAACTAACAGTCACTCAGTAGGTAAAGAAATTTCTCTTATGGAACATGAAAGTTTATTATCATGTTTAAAAAGCCCAGCATTTAATCCTGTCCTGAGCCATATGAATCCAGTCCACACACACTCATAACATATTTATTTTAAGTTACACTTAAATATTATCCTCCCATCTGTGCCTAGTTTTCCCAGGTTGTCTCAGGTGGTTTTCTAACCAAACATTTTTATGCATTTCTGATCCCTTTCATGTGTGCTATGTGTTACTTTTTGATTTGACCATTCTAATAAAACTTGAGGAATGGTATGTTAGGAGGCATAATTACAGATGGTGGATAATATTAATATACATTTTGAAAAAAGGAACTGAAGTTATGGACTCAATTTAACTAACTTTGTATATGGTCCATTGTCAAAATTTTGTGAACAGCATAGTGACATTTTTCACCAGGTGAGTAAGTATAAATTTTTCAGTTAACATGCCATATGTCCAACTTGCCTATATATCCTAACAGAGAAAGTCTTAATGTCAAGAATTTATCTGGCTGCATGACTGTGTGTTCCAATGTTATCACTCAGTGAAGACACCTTCACAAATGCAAGCATAAAACAGCACTGATATATTCCAGTGTCCTGGCGACTATATTATCGGTACTATGACTTAAGCACCATAAATGGAAAGGAGTAATGCTGAAAGTCTGGTACTGAGACTTTTGTCAGCTGTGTCATGTTATAAGCAGAGTACTATCTTTAGGTTCATACTCTTGCATTGCAAAGAATTGCATGGGAGAAGCAAGCAGTTCTGCAGAGCTCACAGTGGAGGACATCCACAACCAGCTCAATGAGGAGGAGAGACTACAACTGTTCTCAACAAACCAACCACCAAAGTTTATCATGGGCCTCAAGAGCTGTGAAGCAAAGATCACAGAAGACTTCAGGTTTACTGTCCAAGGTGGGTTAGTGATGCAGAATTGGTAAGTAAGAAATGTGTAGAGGCACTTCATTATATAAATTTAAGCTGTGTCTTGGTATGAACTCTTGCTATTACTGTGTTATATTGAAGTAGGGTAATACCTATATCATGTATTATTCTGGCATGAAAATTAATTATATCAGAAAGGAGTTTTGAAAATGCTGTAAGCATGAATGAATTTAAGGGGAGCTAGATAATGTTTTTGCCTCCTTTGAGAATGCCAGTATAAATTATCAACTCCACATATAGGAATAGTGATGTGGCAGTTCCTGAAGTTCAAACTTCTGTAGTACAATAAACATGGAAGACGCCAGCAGTTACAAGTATAATAGCAGCAAAATAGAAATACTCTGTATGATTTCAGAAAATATAGGAGAATATTATTATGATTTTACTAGGAAGTATTACAATCTATAAATACCACAACAGCATTATCTTTATTACTGGTGGTTACAAAGTCTGTGAGCAGGATGGGTTCTTGTTTCAATAACAAAATCATGTTCATATCAAGTTTATACATCAAATTATGCTCATAAGTAAATGGTTGTATTGCTGCTGTGGAATTTTGTCAATCTGAATTGATTTATGTATATGAAGTCAACTCCAGTGCACTCTTTATTCACATTTATAAATACACTAAACAACTTATAAATAAACTTGAAATAATCTAGCCTGGCATACTTCTTGGTAAAATTATTTTTGTTAAGAGATATAATGTTTATATAGCTGTGACATAGTTGTCAGAATCTTTTTTGTGGAAACTCTATGCATCATGTTTACATTAACATAGAAAAGGCTCGATAAGATATATCCTACCCTTTCAAATCATCAATCCAAGGACTTTTCCTATTCTGGCTTCTTGGTGTTAAATTTTGACAAAAGGTAGGCTTTTTGCAGAAAACATACCTATGTGCAGATAAGTATAAAAATTTAAGTTCTCAGAACCCAGAAACACTTGACCCTGGAATGGCTCACTACTACTCTAGAAGTCTTCTATGAATGTGGTGTGGACCGAGACAAAATGTGTTTCAGTGACTGTCTCCCCTGAACCCTCCATTTCGTGGTATCGAGATGATGAGCAAGTTGAAGAGACCAGCAGATACAGTACATCCCTTGAGGCACTTGGCACCTGTCATTTAAATATCCACTGCCTTGAAATTATCGACCAGGTAAATACAGATTTTAAGTAATGAATAATGATTTTGAACATGAAGCTTTCTGAACCATGTTTCATGCAAAGATGAACATCCTATCCCACCCTACAAAGATATGTAAAGTATGTTTAATGAAAACTGAAGTAAAGGAGCAGCTATTTGATAGTACAAGGAGAAAAAATCATGAACAGCATGCTTGATTTTAAAGATTAAGTTTGTTATGCATCTTATTGACTCCTTGTAAGTTGTACAATAACTAGCATTTAAATGACTTACATAATTCTTTGAATTCTACTGGAAGTTATGAGATTGTTTTGTATCAGTTTGAAAGTCATTTTTATGGAGTTCAAATACACTTAAATAATACCAATAAGAATTTATTCTGTTGCATGGCTTTGAATAAAGGGCTGTTTGTATATTGAGCATCTTATTATTTTATTTATTTTTCAGGCTGAATGGAAATGTGTGGCAACAAACGAATTTGGGCACAGTGTCACATCATGTTTCCTTAAACTGATCATACCAAGACATTTCAAGAAGCCTCGGTTTCTTGAGTGTTTGCGAGCCATACTATCAGAGGAAGGGGCTGTCAATTTGGAGTGCAAGGTGAAATGCAATGGGCTGACCATATTGAAATCTGCTGCAACATTTTGGAGAAATAGGCTGAGTCTAGACAACAGTATTGTATTGTAACTGCATATGCATCTGTTTCAGAATTGAAGAAGTCAAAAATATGTGTTTCTCTTGAGTTTCCTCTTACAACTGTGCTGCTAAGTTTACAAAAAGGATGCTGGGTATTCAGAATGTAAATTAAATCCAAACACCATCAGAGTAATTATCAGACAAGGCAATCTGGGTCTCTAGTCCACACAATGAATACCTAAATCAAGAAAGAGATGCTGCAAATGTGAATGTGTGGTGTGCACTGACAGACGCATGAAATAAATATTCTTTTTACAAGAAGTCCATAGACAGTAATATCTGTTGGACATGACAAAAAATTAAGCTTTCCACATCTTCAGGGATGTGCTGATATCATCTTCCATTGAGATGATGCACCCCAACATTTCAGTAACACCGTGCAGCAGTAATTCAATGACCTGCTTTCAAATAGGAGGGTAGATAGATGTAGACTGATTTCTTTGTCTCCCTGGTCACCCTATATCAATGCAAATTGAAGTAGAGAATATTGTAAACTACAGGTACAGTGACCCAAGATATATCAAATCACAATTGGAAGTTGTTAAATTACAGAATTACAGGTTGAATAGTTGCAAGCTACAAATGGATCATTTTCAAAACTGTACACCTGAAATAAAAATAATACTCTAAATATTGTCATTTGTATGTCACAAATAGTTTTGTTATGCCATCTTTGTTGAGTTCAATAAATACAGTGTTTAACTAACATTGCTTTAAGAAAACACTAAATCAAGACAAGAAAACAAAATATTCTTTTAGTAGAACACTCTGAGAAATACAGATGTGTGTTTATTGTGCAGGTTATTGGAGTTCCTCAGCCAGTGCTGAAGTGGTATAAAGATGGTGAGGAGCTGAAGCCAGGTGATATACATCGCATCATTTCTGGCGAGGATGGCACATGTTGCCTGGGAACATACACTTGTGAAGCATACAACTGCATGGGCACTGTGGCCAGCTCTGCTTCTCTGCTTGGCTTTGAAGGTACATCACCACCTTTAACACCATGGACAAGATGTTCTTGAGAAGTCATTTAAAGTGCATTATTATTATCCATTTTTAACCAAATTTGATATGTGTTGATAAATTCAAGTATAAAATGTAATGATAATCTCAGTATGTTCCTGACATGGACAGTCAAAACAAAATTGAAAGGTGCAATTTTGCAACTTCATTGTGAATATACCAAATCATTAAAAAGAGACTGGAGAAAACTGCATAATGAGGAGCTTCATCAATTTTTCTTCAATTAGGGTGATCAAATCAAGGAGGATTAGCTGAAAGAGCATGTAACATGTATGGGAGACATAAAAAATTAACACAAAATTTAGTTTGAATCTCTTGGAAGAACCTGGTACATGTTGAAGGACAATATTAAAATGGGCCTTTGTATCCAAACATACAGGCTTCAAAGTCAGTCAGGTCAGCACCCAAATGAAGATTTGCTGAATGTACTGTTCTGTTCAAAATTTATTTTGAATGGCGAACATGTGCACACCAGAAACTGACTTCTTTAAAAGAACAGACTTTTGAAGAAATCTGAACCATAGAGGATGTCATGAACATCAGTAGCCAGTTTGAACCTGTCTCTGTTTTGAACAGTTACACTCCATGAAAAGTTCTACAAAAACTTCAAATGTCCCTGATGTTCAAACTTTGACAATTAATAATCATGAGACTTGCCTACCTCCTGTACCAATTACTTGTCTTAAGTAAATTCAGAAAAAACTAAGTACATGTTAGTATCTCGTCATCAGAAGACAGGCGGGCAAAATTATCTTAGGGTGGCTAATAAATCCTTTGAAAGAGTTACAAAGTTCAAATATTTGGGAACAACAATAACAAATCAAAATGATACTTGTGAGGAAGTTAGGAGGAGACTAAATTCCGGAAATGCTTGCTACTTCTCAGTCCAAAATATTTTGTCTTCCCGTCTGATTTCTAAGAACCTGAAAATTAAAGTATACAAAACAATAATATTGCCTGTTGTTTTGTATGGGTGCGAAACATGGTCCCTCACTCAGAGGGAGGAACACAGATTGCAGGTGTTGGAGAATCGGGTGTTGAGGAGGATATTTGGGCCTAAGAGGGAAGACGATGGGGCGTGGAGAAAACTGCACAATGACGAGCTTAAAAATCTGTACTGCTCCCCCAGTATTGTCAGGGTGATTAAGTCGAGAAGAGGATTTTGTTGGCCCAGGACAGGGTCCGGTGGAGGGCTTTGGTTAATTCGGTGATGAACCTTCGGGTTCGGTAAGCCATCTAGTTAGTTAGTTAGTTAGTAGAGTTTTTACTTACAACATTATATATTGAAGCTAGATGTCTTTCACACGAACTGATCCATATAAATCAGTGTGCTGTAGACAAAATTTTGGTTTATCTAGCATTTCAAGAGAAATTACACAAAACCAAGCCAGTAAGGTGCAGACATTCAAATATTTGCTTAGTGGAAGGAATTGTTTTGTAGTTTGATATAGGAGTGTGAATGCTACATTCTGCATGTGCTTAAAACTAAATGTTTTGTTATTCCTCAATGCAATATGCAACTAAATTAAAGCAATTGTTTTGGTTAATTAGGTTAAGCTCTGTCTAGTAAAAGAACTAGTTTCATTTATGTGTATCTTCAGAACGGTTGATGAAAGGAGCTGCTCAGCAAAACCTGGACCAGGGTGTAGGCCACATGATTGCAAGGAATCCATCCTTGTCAACCATCCATGAAGAGAGGACTTCCCAGATGTACGACACACCTGCCACTGAACTATCTACCACCATGGATGAACGTGCTGAGGTGTCTTTCTCATTTGATGGAAAGGAGGTGTCGGTTTCACTGTATGAGACCCCAGACCTCACAGAAGAGGAGGCACTGCAGGTGGTTGAGATGTATGCTGACCAACTGTCAGAGCACGTGTCAGGTGAGCTTTGCGATTAAACTTACTCCACGAGATAAGATGCAGTTGAATGGACAACTTAAGCACAGTTATAACAGCAATCATGAAGAAATTTAACAGACATGGGTTTATGCATTTTCACTGTTTTAAGTGTGCATATTTCATGAGTCAAGTTTCTGAAATCAATATTATTGCTCTTTAATGCCCTTTGTTTATTTTAACTCTCTGATCACCAGTTTAATTTTGTGACCCTGACCCCTGTACACACTGCCAAGTCTTTATATAGCCTGGCTTTGTTGCTGCTGTTATTACTTTTGTTATTACAGGTCTAGTGTTCCATCCTGGTAGGATACAGATTAATTTAATAAACAAATAAGCAGATAAAAAGCAGCCATTTCTGACAGTGGTCCAGTGATTAGTATCTTAGCCTAGTATTAAAAATATCCCATGTTCATTTCAAATGATGGCCATAAATCTTGATTTAAATTTGCCAGTTCAATGACAACTGATTACCTGATGATAGTGCTAGAATCAGCTCTTACAATTTTGTTTGCAGATATATCAGATACACAGGATCGGCCAAAGCCCTTGAAAGAAAAGTTGTGTTCAAAAAGTCTCATTGCAAGGCAAGAATATGTGGCTTATTTTGTTAGCCAGACACATCAAGTTTGTCTTTCATGTGTGTCCAATATCACATATAAAATGTGTGTGCCATTTACAGTTTATTTTTTGTTGAATGTTCATTTTGTTTAAGAATTTTGGACTCATATACTATATCAGGGATGTTTATTACATTAAAAAATATTTTGAGAGTTCTTGTTATCAAATTTTGATTTTGGCAATATTTAAACTCTCTTAGGAATTACAGAAATGTGTTTTCCCACAGAGCACAATATAGTGGAACTTCCACCTCTGAGATTTATGAAGGAGACTTCCAATACTGGCAAACTGCTGATGGAAGCCATTGTCATTGATGTCACTCACGATGCCTTTGCCTCTGCTGAGGATGACCTTCGCACAGATGCTGATTTGGAGGAGTTTTCTATCACAGATGACATTGGTCAACAGGCTCCTCCCTTACCTCAGGATGTCGGGGAGGAGGACAATGCTATATTTAATAAAATTAACACTGAGTTCTTGGAACGTGTTTTGGCACCTACTGTGATATATGAGGAAGTTGAAGAACCTGTTGCTCCCAAACGACCACCCAGAAAGAAAACTGAGGCCAGTCAGAGAGCAAGGCCAGACAGTGACACTTTTTACAGTCTGTCACCGGTTAAAGGACAATCCAAGGAAGGTGACACCTTTGACAGCATGTCTCCTATAAAGGGAGCCCACACACCAAAGGATGATGGAGATCACAGTGATAACTTCAGTGACACAGCAGCATACGTATCTGAGCAGGATTCACGGCCCGATTCTTATGCCAGTGCTCTAGGCAGTTCAGGAGAAGGTAGGGCATTTCAAATAGCAGCTATTGAAGTGCAAAGGGCAGATGAACCACAATCCACTAAGAGCAGCCCACCTGAACTAGTACGGAACATAGAGGTGGACACAGGGAAGAAGGATGTGGAGCTGCAGGTGGCTGAAGTACAGCAGAAACAATTTACTAAAGAAGTAGAACCCAAAGAATTAATCTCACAGCCAGGATCACTGAAGAAGAAAATGCGTTCTGTGGAGAGTGGGTTGGGAAGGTCATTTGAAGAGAGTACAGAAGACAGAGTTCCAGGGGAACCAGCAGGTCATAAACCTGAACGGCCTGCTAGGAAAGGATCAAAAA